ATGACTCCAGATGTCTCCCCCAGCCTGGATTTTCCTACAGAAGCAGGACTGGATGAAGAGCAGCTGTAATGGGGAAACCAAAAAGGGAATCGGGCAGGATGTCCATAGCTACCACCTGCAAGGGGAGGCAAGGTGCAAAGGTGGCTTTGGGTGCTGAGGGAACCCGGACAGAGGCTTTGCACCTCGTGTTGGCTAACTCCAAGCAGTGCAGGAGGAGGAAGCTGCTGCTGAGCAAGGGATCAGAAGTGAACAGGGGAGTGCAGGAGGCAATGCCAGCGTGTGCTAGAGCCTTGGCAGAGAATCAAGGAAGCGGGACACACTGCCGTGGTGGGACCACCATGCAATGGATGTCACAGAGGAGCAAGGGGCAAGAATGAACAAGGGGCAGGCAAAGGAAAGTTTATTTCTGAGAAGCAACAGTAAGAAGAGTGATTGCAACATCCGTGAGAGATAAGCTGTTGATTTGGAGAGGACCTGGGATGCAGCAGGTGGGACTGACCCAACAGCATCAGGGAGAGGGATGGATGAGGTAGCAACAGCACCTGGATGCATCAGCACGCTGCAGGGACCTCAGTTCAGCACACGCTCACCGCGTGGCTTCTGCGCAGCACGCGTGGGCTTCAGGTGGGCTCTGCCACAGGGACAGGCCCTCAGCGCTGGCCAGATCTGCACCAGCCACAAGAAGAGTCGTGCTGAGTTTAGGCACCAGGGATCAGCACGGTCCTGGATACCACAGGGCTGCCATGACACTGTGCCTCAGCAATGGACCAAGCCCTGCCTTGCGACACCAGTAGCTTCAGCTTGCTCGACGCACGTGTCCACATCCGGCCCCGCATCAGCACAGCTCCAGGTGGGAGGTGCAAGTAGATGCTGGCAAATCCCACCTGCCCCGCTCGCAGGCTTTGTGCGAGGACTCCCTCTGGCATTTCCACTCGGGCCACTGCCCAGGGCTGGGCGAGGAGCACCGTTGGGCTCTGTGCCGGCAGGAGCCCACAGCTCACTGTACCCAGCTCCCTGCCCTGGGGACCGGCAGCAGGGCTGTCTGCCAGCGAAGGGCCTGCTCCCAGAGGTACCCTCGGCCTGGGAAGCTACAGGACAGGGGAAAACTGCGTAAGGAAAAACACATGGGCAGTAAATTAATGGGACAATGAAAGAGAAACGACTGTGTATGGTCCAGCTGGAGGTTTTCAGACCAGAGTTTCAAGTGGCCTGTTAACATCCAAGACCAGAGCACAGCTTGGACATGTCTGCAGGGGAAATCCTGCGATGCAGAGGCCCATGGGCAGGAGCTCAGGGCTTTGCAGTGATGGTGCTGGGGAGGACGAGGAGTCTCAGCCCAAGAAAGAGGAAGAGATGGGAACTCCTGGGGTGCAGAGACAGAACCATGCCTGAGCCCCACGGGCTGGGAAAAGCAGGTACCAGTACTGGCACCCAGGCCACGACCCAGACAGGCACCTCGAGAAGAGCGTGGGGGCCTAAGGAGGGACACCAAAGGTGGCAAGTGGATCCTTTGCCCATGGTGATGTTGTACCAGTTCCTCCTGCTCTCCTGTCCTAGCAGGGCACAGGGAACAGCTCATGCTGCCAGCATCCTCCAGTGGGGCCAGTCCTGCCCCACAGCTCCCTCCCCACTGAATACTCCTCCTCGTTTGCTTCTTTTAAAACTTTTATTCAACAATATAGAATTCTTTTAATTATAATATAGAACTGTCCATCATGATACTACATCCCCTGCCACCCCCGTGCCCTGGCAGACGGGCACAAGCTGGCTAACAGTGGTCCGTCAGAGGTTGGGGGGTGGGGGGAACAGCCAGAACAGAGGAAGGAACAACTAACCAACAACTGCTTCATACACCCTTCACATTTCCATGCTTTCTGGGTCAGGAAGAGCTCAACAAGGAACCAAAGGCAGAACCTGTAACACTCGGAGGGAAGGGCTGCGGTCATAAAGAGGCGAGTGCCGTCCAGCCAGGCGTGCTGCCCCGCTCTCAGCCCTGCCCGCGCCGCGCAGGCTGCCCGCCGTCACTCTACACGCGCCGGTAGGACGTTTGATTTGGTTCTCGTTCTGCTTATGGAAAATTGGGAGCAACAGCATCGGACCTGAGGAGAGATGGGAGGAGGGAAGTGAGCATCGTGGGACACTGCCAGCTTGACACAGAGCTCCTCTGGCCCCAGGTGATGAGGAGAGGGCTGGGCACGCTGCCCCACATCCTGCCACCCCACTCCCAGCCAGGTCTGGCTACACCCACCGTGCCCCTCTGGATGTGGGGACAGCAGGCAATCCTCAGCCTGCTTTGGAAGGGGCAGCAGGGAGAGAGGGGAAGGCAGGGCTGAGCAAGGCAAGGGAGAGACGCGGTCCAGCAAAGCAGTGCTTTTGTGGGCAGCCAAGACACAAGTTTAGACTATTTTCTTCCCCCCTCGAGTGTTAAGTCTCCCTCCACTGCTCAAAACATCTCCTCTAGTCCTGCTAAAGGCTCCTGTTGTGTCACAGCACACTTGCAACAGGCACAGAGAAGCTGGGGAAGATGTTCACTGCATCCCTCTCCTACCGCATCACTCCGTGGCTGCCGTTGTTCTGGTTTTGAGCCTTTCCTCATACAAGACACTCGGCCAAACCTGTGCTCTACCTCTGTTAGAAAGCTGGGCCAGGCCAGCTGAAAGGCCAGGATGTGCCCCTGGACTCTCCCAACTTTCTCCAAGAGAAAGCATATGAAGATTCATGCTCCCCAGCCTCCTTCTTCCCTAAGGACAAGACACCATCTTCTCCAGCTCCTGGCTGTCCCTACAGGCAGGACGACGCTTTGCTAAGGCCGGAGGAGAGTGGGGTTGCTGGTTCCGAGTGCTGGAAGGGCTGATGGGTGCGAAGAGGAACTGGCCCGAGCGGCAGCCAAGCCCCTGCACTGCCCTGGGATCAGAAGGCTCCACACCCTCCTCGCTCCCAGGCCGCACTTGCTCAGCTGCCGTGTTTCCCTGTGGGATGAATCTGTCACAGCTCACCCTACCCTAGAGCTGGGGTAGGGATGTGGGGAGATACAGGGCAGGTTGTTCCAGCCTCTCTGGTCAGCACAACCAGGGAAAGCCGTTCGCCCTTTTCACTCGCTGGGAAGAGGATCTTTCTTCCACTGCTTGAGGGCACCAGGAAGGAATTTCTGACTCAGGTTTACACAACTGATACTTCCCGAAGCACCACCCTGGAACTCCACCATCAGGTTTGGACACTGTCAAGCACTCGCATACAACAACCAAGGTTTTTCCCCTACCAAAATTCCCACACTGAACCTGTTCTTATCCCTGATGCCGCTTCTGCTTTGGCTCTCAGGAAGCTGGGAATGCCAACACACACAAGCTGAAGAATAAGCAAGTTTCCCCCAAAGCAACATGGGACAGGCCATGAGAAATACCCACTACTGCCTCTTCTCAATGGAGCAATTCAACACACAGTCAAAATCAGTTTAGAAACAGATGTTAACCCTCCACCGCAACACTGCTGGTAGTAGCACAGCTTAAGAGCACTAGAGATGCCCGCGCCGCTCAGGCCAGGCGGGTGGAAGGACAGAGGGCTGGGAATATTTGCCAAAGCCTTCAGCAGCATCTGCAGGAGTTAGGGAGGGCCCTGTGGCACAGCAGCAACACCGGACACTGATAACCAAGCTCACGTGCTGGGCGCATCCCAGGGTGGGAGGAAAGAAGAGCTACTCCCTGCTCAACACAGCTCTAGAACTGCCATCTGCCCAGGCTGAGAGGAGACAAACATGGGGGTGAGCTTGCAGAGACCCCCAGGTTCCAGCCATGCACCAGACAGACCGAGACCACTACCTTGGGCACCAGCTGCTTGGGCCCAGGGTACCACAACAGCCAGCTCCTCGCTGTACCCAAACCCCTGCACCTCCTCAGTGGGTCCAGGGTACCACAACAGCCAGCTCCCCGCTGTACCCAAACCCCTGCACCTCCTCCACAGCCCCAGGGACGCAGAGACAATCTGCCACAGCAAAACCCTCGGGGCTTACAGCACGACTGCAACCAAAGACTAGGAGATCCCAAATACTCAGCCAAGAGGTGCTGGAAGAGCAAACCTGACCTCCTCAAGGAGGCAATGCCTTCAGCGCTCGCTCTTTCTGGCCATCCCATAGATTTGAGACTGCAGACGTTCAGACGTATAGATATTTATTGGATTCAGTGAATTATACAAATGGATTGACCTGCTATCGATGCCAATAGAGCTTTATTGGAATATGGAATGTAAACAGATGTTTCAAATAGAAACATTGCAACCTTATAAAAAATTAACTATTTCGACAATGCCGCAGAAGGAGTTTCTGTGTTTAGGTGCTGGTGGGAAAACACTATCTCCAGCTTCTAGGTTTTGAGTGTCACCAGAACCACTTGATGAAGTCACACACAGAACAAGTAGAGGAGGCAACTGTGAACTGTGGGGCTATAAAGCCATCGAGGGATCTGATGAAAGAACCCGCAAGACGAACCCCCCACCCCCCGCAACGGGATCGGCACCCCGGAATTCAACAAACGGCTGACTTGGTTAAAACACTACGTGGGATCCCAAGTCCTGGATCAGTAGCTGCACAGCCCCCTCCCCGACAGACCACGCTGCTGTTT